CTTATAAAATCGAAAAAAACATTGAAAAAATAAAGGAACTGAACAATAAAAATCAAAGTTCCAATTTCTCAACTTTAGAATTTTGACGTTCTATAATTTTTGGATTTTACAATTTTGGAGTTTTCCAATTTTCCGTTTCTTCAGTTCTTTCGATTTGCCATTGGTTCGATTTTGCAATTTATAGTTTTTTTTCAGTTTTTTGATTTTCCAATCTTGTCCGATTTTTTAGTTTTTCGAATTTTAATTTTTCAAGTTTTCACCTTTTCGAAACAAAGAATGGAAAAACTTCAAAATTGCATAATTTAAACATCAAAAATAAAAAACGAGAAAAAAAATGAAATGAAAACTGAGAAATCTAAAAATTGGAAATCAACAACTTGAAAAATTGAAGAAACGAAAAACTAAAAAATCGGAAGAATAAAAATTTAAAAACTTAAAAACAGGAAAAGTGCAAATTCCAAAAAAAACGAAAATTGCAAAATCAAAATTTTGAAAACTAAAGAAATCGGAAAATGGGATAATTCAGAAATCCAAAAATTGCAAAATTGATAAATTTCCAATTGGAAAACCGAGGAATTGAAAAATCGAAGACTGAAAACTAGGAAAATTGAATAAACTAAAAATTATACATAGAAATTAAAGAAACATTGGAGTATAAAGGAAATGTAAAAACGAAAAATTGTGAAATAAAATCGAAAAAAGGAAAATAAAAAAAAATAAGGAAAATGAAAAATCAAAATCAAAGTTACAATTTTTTGACTTTACAATTTTTGCGTTTTATTTTATAATTTTTCGATTCATCAATTTTTCGTTTCTTCTGTTATTCGATTTTCAATTTTTTGAATTTCCTCTTTTTCCGATTTTCATTTTTTTTGGGGTTTTTTGTTTATTCAATTTTTACTATTTTTCAATTTTTCGCTTTTTCAACTTTTCGAATCAAAAAACCGGAAATTTTCCAAAATTGTAAAATCAAAAATGAAAAAACGGAAGAATACAAATGAAAACTTTGAAAAATCTTAAAATTGGAAATCAATAAAAAAATTGATAAACGAAAAATTGAAAAATCGAAAAGATGAGATAGAGAGAATTGAAATATGGAAAATTAAAAAAATCCAAAAATTGCAAAATTAAAAATCTGAATAAAGAAAAAATTATAAAATCGAAAAAAAACATTGAAAAATAAAGGGAATGAAAAAACCAAAAATTGTGATTGGAGAAAAATGGAAATTAAAAAATCGGAAAAATGAAAATTAAAAAATCGGGAAAATGAATAATAACAATCAAAGTTACACTTTTTCGACTTTACAATTTTGACGGCTATAATTTTTCGATTTTACAATTTCTGGGTTCACCAATTTTTCGATTCATTAATTTTTTAGGTTTTCAAGACTCAGTCATTAATTTTTTTGAGACACTCTGTATAAGCAAATCTAAAAAATATTAATACAGTGATGAATCACAAATATAGACTCAATCTTATCTTTACAAATACTAGCCCCGCCCACCCGCCCTTTATTTTTTTAGAAAGTAAGTCATTTGCCAAAATCAGTCTTATCTTAGTAAATTGAAGCCCCGCCCACCCACCCTCTATTTTCTCAGAAAGTATATCATCTGCCAAAAGGAGTCTTATCTTTACAAATACTAAAAAAAATGACATAACCTCTAACAAAATAGAGGGCGGGTGGGCGGGGTTAGTACTTGATAAGATTATGACTTACCCTCTAAGAAAATCGAGGGCGAATGTGGGGCTAGAAGTTGCTATGATAAGATTGAACAATATTAAGAGAAGTCACTGGATTTTTTTTCTCGATTTACTCAATAAAATAAATTGACTCATTCATTAATTTTTTTGAGCCACCTCTTTAAGCAAAACTAAAAAATATTAATGCAATGATAAATCACAAGTAAAAATTCATCATATTTTGCACATTATAGGTAGAATTTATTCCGCAAAATTTTGAGAAGACGTCATCAATGTTTTGGGGGTAATAAACAGACATACCATGTGTTTCTTTTATTTGAAAATTTTTAAAGGTAAACATAGTCCTTTGAGAATTTGTACCATTTTAAAAGATCACTTATGTCAATAAATGAGATGTATGTCAATTTTTCAAGCTACCAGATTGTTACCAATAAATATGAATTTTTCGTCTATTTTATTGAATAACTTTTAAAGCATTAAATTTAGAAAAAATCAATATTTCCATTTCTGAAAAAAAATACCTAATCTTCCATAAAAAAAATAAGTTGACGTATTTTCCGGTTCTACCGGAAGTGATAATAAAAATGTGAGGTTGCCATCACATAGATCTTTTAAAATGATACAAATTTACTCCAAAAACTGCAGGTTTATCTTTGAGAATAAAAAAGTTACAGATGTTGTATCAAATAAAAGAAACACCCTGTATTTTGATTAACAATTTACCATGCTTACAATAACTTTAAAACTTCTGCAAGATTTCAAAGTATTTAGTTTTGCAATTCTTGATTTAATAAAATTTCCAATTTTTTTATTTTTTTCGATTTTTTAGTTTCTAGTTTATTACTTTTTCAATATTTGGCTTTCGCGTTTCTTCAGTTCTTCGATTTTCAATTTTTCGATTTTCCTCTTATTTCGATTTGTCAATTGTTGGGGTTTTTGGGTTTTCGATTAATTTTTCAACTTTTCGAATCAAAAAACCGTAAAATTTTTTAGGAAATCGGAAAATCAGATAATGGAGAAATCCAAAATTACAAAATCGAAAAAAACATTGAAAAAATAAAGGAACTGAACAATAAAAAGCAAAGTTCCAATTTTTGATCTTGGGTATTTGACGTTCTATAAATAATTTTTCGATTTCACAATTTTGGAGTTTTCTAATTTTTCGATTCAATAACCTTTTTCGATTTTTAGTTTTTCAATGTTCCAATTTTCCGTTTCTTCAGTTCTTTCGATTTTCCATTGCTTCGATTTTGCAATTTATAGTTTTTCATTTTCATTTTTTGATTTTACAATCTTTTTCGCTTTTTTAGTTTCTAGTTTATTACTTTTTCAATATTTCGATTTCTCGTTTCTTCAGTTCTTCGATTTTCCACTTTTTTCGATTTTCCTCTTATTTCGATTTGTCAATTGTTGGGGTGTTTTGGGTTTTCGATTTTTAATTTTTCAACTTTTCGAATCAAAAAACCGGAAAATTTTTAAGGAAATCGGAAAATCAGATAATGGAGAAATCGAAAAATTGTAAAATTGAAAATTTAAAAAATTGAAATAAAGAAAACTTACAAAATCGAAAAAAACATTGAAAAAATAAAGGAACTGAACAATAAAAATCAAAGTTCCAATTTCTCAACTTTAGAATTTTGACGTTCTATAATTTTTCGAATTCACAATTTTGGAGTTTGCAATTTTTCGATTCATTAATTTTTTTCGATTTTTAGTTTTTCAATGTTTCAATTCTCCGTTTCTTCAGTTCTTTCGATTTGCCATTGGTCCGATTTTGCAATTTATAGTTTTTCAGTTTTTTGATTTTTCAAACTTTTCCGATTTTTTAGTTTTTCGAATTTTAATTTTTCAAGTTTTCAACTTTTCGAAACAAAGAATGGAAAAACTTCAAAATTGTATAATTTAAACATCAAAAATAAAAAAACGAAAAAAAAAAAAATGAAATGAAAACTCTGAGAAATCTAAAAATTGGAAATCAACAACTTGAAAAATTGAAGAAACGAAAAACTGATCAATCGAAAGATTAAAAATTGAAAAACTTAAAAACCGGAAACGTGCAAATTCCAAAAAAACGAAAATTGCAAAATCAAAATTTTGAAAACTAAAGAAATCGGAAAATCGGACAATTCAGAAATCCAAAAATTGCAAAATTGATAAATTTCAAATTGGAAAACCGAGGAATTGAAAAATCGAAGACTGAAAACTCGGAAAATTGAATAAACTAAAAATTATACATAGAAATTAAAGAAACATTGGAGTATAAAGGAAATGAAAAAACGAAAAATTGTGAAATAAAATCGAAAAAAGGACAATTAAAAAAAAATAAGGAAAATGAAAAATAAAAATCAAAGTTACAATTTTTTGACTTTACAATTTTTCGTTTCTTCTGTTCTTCGATTTTCAATTTTTTGAATTTCCTCTTTTTTCCGATTTTCATTCTTTTGGGGTTTTTTGTTTATTCAATTTTTACTATTTTTCAATTTTTCGCTTTTTCAACTTTTCGAATCAAAAAACCGGAAATTTTCCAAAATTGTAAAATCAAAAATGAAAAAACGAAAGACTACAAATGAAAACTTTGAAAAATCTTAAAATTGGAAATCAATAAAAAATTTAATAAACGAAAAATTGAAAAATCGAAAAGATGAGATAGAGTGAATTGAAATATTGAAAATTAAAAAAATCAATGGAGAAATCCAAAAATTGCAAAATTAACAATCTGAATAAAGAAAAAATTATAAAATCGAAAAAAAAAACATTGAAAAATAAAGGGAATGAAAAAACCAAAAATTGTGATTGGAGAAAAATGGAAATTAAAAAATCGGAAAAATGAAAATTAAAAAATCGGGAAAATGAATAATAAAAATCAAAGTTACACTTTTTCGACTTTACAATTTTGACGGCTCTATAATTTTTCGATTTTACAATTTCTGGGTTTACCAATTTTTCGATTAATTAATTTTTTAGGTTTTCATCCATGCTAGTTGTCAATTTTGACATGAGCACCACTAACAAACGTGTTCAGACGATGGCAACTGTCATAAATGTCACTTGACAGTCAGGTCATAAAAATTTAAATGGGTTGCCAACCTGACAAAAAAATCACAAACGCCAATAGCCAATAGTGGTATCATATGACTGTAAAAAAAGCGTGGTCTGGCTAGCCATGGAATTAGTTTTTTTAATGTCAATTCTACACATTTTTTTTTTTTCAAACTGAATTGAGGCCGTTTAATGATAAAAGTCAAACAAGTTTTGTCAAAAACAAAATTTGACACAACAAAATTAAAAATTTACATACCCTGATAAATTTATTGAGATTCTCACTACTCGTACGAGGCGGGCTGTCGCACTTCTCCGGGGACCCCGGCGGAGTGATCACATAATTCTCCTTATTATCCTTATAATTCGCCCTGTACACCATGTACCTCTGAAACGCATTAGCATTCTTCTCTAAAGCCTTATGGAATGACTGAGACACTAAACTGAACCTGTACAAATCCCCCCCTGACAAATACTTGAAAACAACGTCCATAATAACATTAATATTAAGTATACGGTTGAGCAACTGATTGTTACTAGGAACATGTCTGCTACGAATCAATCCAACCCTCCTCTCCCGCTCCGGCTTCACAATCTTAATACTACTGTACAGAATCTTCCGCGACTCCTGAATCGGCGACGACACAGCTTTACCCAACAAACTACGCTGCTTCTCGGGAGTACTCGGAAGCGACCCCACAAGGCAAATATCCTTGAGATCGGTAATGAGAGACTCGTTCAAGGTACTTGAGAACTTGGGGCTCGCCGTCAAGTCGAGAGTCTCGTCGAGTTTGCGTTTACGCGAGAAATGGGTCACGGGGGTTGAGTGGAGATTGCGAGGGGGCTTCCTGTCTTGGAGAGGCTTGAGGTCGTGAGGGGGCGTCAGGTCCATCTGTCACAAGAAAACGTTGCAAAATAGCCCCCAAGCGTCACTTCCTTACCTTAAAAATGTAGAATTAGTCGATAAAATAAAATAACACACAAGAAAAATTAAAAGGTTGTATACACTTATGGCGCCATTTCGTTAAACGTGAAATGGGGGCTTCATGGTGGAACTTTTGCGTCGCGGGTGATAAAACAACATTAAAGAAACACTTTTATTACGAAATGTCTGTGAGATAATCGTGCGAAACGAAAAAACTGGCCTTTTTTTCGAGCTTTCACCAACCTCGAACACCTGTCACACGCGAGCGCCATCTGTAACGAAAACACGAACTAGTAATAAAATTTGGCACCAAATCAAAAATTGATATTTAATTTAACGTAATCGCAACCAAATAACCGTATTTGTGTTTGCAACCAACACTATTACAAAATTCGCGCTGTTTGTAGCCAAATTTATTAAAAAAAACACACAAGTTGGGTTTTTTTCGTTTGACAGTCAGTGCTCTCAACACGTTTTTTAAGTTGGCACTCTGCCGATTCTAACCTCCAAAACAAATTTTGAATTTGAACACAAAAATGGACCAAAGTTCCGAGTTTAAGCAGTGTTCTGACGAACTAAACCAACTGAGGATGAGTTTTCTGCAGGCTGAACGAAACAAGAGTGATGCGGTTGTAAAATCGACGACTCAGATGGCTCAAAATCAACTTTCTGGTCTCCAGACAATCAACGACTTTTTTTACAAGTTTTCGACGACTTCGGGTTTGAAGGAGCGTTTAGAAGATGATAAGAGTTCGATTGTGATGCCGGGACGACAAGCCGTGTTGGATTTTATCAATATTGTGAAATCCGCCGTGGAAATTCATAAGGAAGGGGCTGTAAGTGTGAAGAATGAAGGGGCTCCTGATATGCAGTTTGTTGCTAAAGAGAAGGCCAATTTGAATAAGTTGTCGTACGTGGATTTGAGTAATCGTGAGTTTAATAAGTGCTTCAGAAGCATGGGAAACTATTATAGCGCACCTTTGGAAAATGAGGAGCTGGGGGACTCTACGGTAAATACGATTGTAAGTGAAGATGTATGGGCGTCGTCCCCGATTTAATAAATTGTTTGTGTCAAGTATTAGGTTAATAAAACCTTATCCCAACCACTTAATTCCAAAAATATATTAAACAATAAATTAAATTAAATAAATACTTATATATGTATATTAAATTATATTTTTATGTATTAAAGTTTGTTCTGGAAACGTCGCTGATACAATAAATTTCATGAAAGACGTAGGCTTAATAATATAGACGTTTCCAAGTTCTGAATCCCCCCACTTAAAAAAATTTATAACTCTTGTGATTGCACTTGTAAATTGTACACAATATTTTTTCTACAACTATGACTAAGAATTAACCCCAAACTCGTGTTATTTCTCACTTTTTACAATGTTAAACGTAATATTACTACAATTATTGAAAATCATTTTTATGGAATCTACTGAATTCAGTTGAAAAGTTAAATTGTCCCGATTTTCCCACGTCTGTGTTCTGGAAGTCGACGGTGTGTTGCTTGTGTCTTCTATGGAGTTCAATATTTCGTTGCTTATGCTGAACTTACTCTCCACTGGTTCGTCTAGTGTGTCGAACTGATTGTCTTCCACGGACTCCTCATCCACCTCCAATTTAACTTCCGTCGGTTCGTCGACAAACTTCTCGGTAAACCGCTTCAAAGTGGCCACGTCGTCGCCCAGAATTGTGGCCGAAGATCTGCGAAAGCAGTGGCCTGTGTATAACTCCGGGTTTGGAAGCTGCAAGTATTTGGCGATTTCTTTTCCCATAGCACCGAATTTATTAATCCCAACTCTCTGATAGTTGCACTTGCCTTTATTATAGTTCAAAAAAAAGTAAGAATCGTTTACGTCTGCCGGTCGCAGATAGGCGTATTTTTTGTAAATTTCGTAATAATGTTCGGTTATTATAAACTTCCGCACCCCTTTGGTACCAGGATTTGGAATAGTCACTAAAACCGCGGTCCCAAAATCGTTGAAATTGGTGATTTTCATTTGGTGAAGTTCGTGCCTCCGGCACGCTCCGGTGACCCCCATGATCAAAGCCACCTGCAACCAACAAACAAGTATTGTTATCGGTCACTGATATCACAACACCTTTGTAAGGAGATATTCGCTGTCTGGCGCTTCATTAATAAATCGGTTGATTTCGTTCGACGTGAAAGTTTTGGACTTTTTGGGGAGATAACCATGGGCTTGACACTTAAGAAAAGCCCGCAATTTCGCATAGTTGGCTATGTCCACGCCATGGTTGATATTAAGAGTAGTCCTCAACATGGAATACACCGTCCACAAAGTCGTACATTTGAATTTCGCGGCTAATTCGCGAAAATAGCTCATAAGCACGTCTTCCGAAAACGACGTCACGTTCTGTTCTTTGTACCAGTCCATGAACAAGTTGTAGGCTGCCGTGTACTTTTTCTTCGACGTTTCGGGTAGAGAATTTAAGGATGTCACCTTCAGGGGTTGTTGTTCCAGGGAGTCGTTTTCGCTGTCGCTTTCCATTTTTTTTGCGAATTAGTGAGGGGTGGTTTCAGGCGTGAGTTATGGGTGGTTTTCTGTTCGGGTTGCTGTAATAACACGGTTACTGCACTGACTGCGACGTGACAGCCATTCTGGAATAACAATCAGTCATTCCATAGAAAGTTTTATGTCATTTCTCACGAGTTGCCACGGCAACGGAGAAGCGGAAGGGGAAATGGGGCGCCACAGTAATGCGGCCGGTGGTGGAACAGGATGCATCGACGGTGACCTTGATGGGGGATTTAAACATAGCACGTTTCAATCGTTAATGAAATTTTAAGGAACATTATATTCGGTAAAAGCAATAAGTTTTAAGTTAAATTCGCGTATTGGTGGTTGCATAAACAACATCAATTCCATTAACATTTGTTTTTATTCATTTTTTAAATTAATAATAATTTGTAAAAAATAATCAACTATGTCTGCTACCGAGTGGCTAATTAATGTTGTGATTTTTTTGTCAGGTTGACAACCTATTCCAAATTTTATTATGGCATACTTGGTTGTCAAAGTTACATTTTGACAGCTGTCACTATCTCAACCAATCAACACGTTTGTTAGGCGTATTCATGTCCATGTTTAGACATGTTTTAAGTTTCTTGTTGTCGAAGTAAGTCTACACATACTAAGAAAAAAAGGCAAAATGTAGCCCCGCCCACCCACCCGATCTCTATTGTGATGATTTTTTTTATTCGTCGTGAGCCAAAGGGGCAGAGCTTAACTGCAAAATCCTTTTTTTTTTCTACGAGAAATTAAAAACATGTATATTAAGAAAAAAATAAAGGTGAAGATTAGGCCCCACCTATACCCGCCTCAATCTCAGTTCTCAATTGTGATTAATTTTTCATTCGTTGTCAGATCGAGAGGCGGGGCTTAATTCCAAGATCGATGTTTGTCTACAAGAATTTGCCATTTTAAATATGTTTTGAGTTTCTTATTCTGAAAATACGAGTACGTATATTAAGAAAAAAGGCAAAATATATGCCCCGCCCACCCGCCCTAGCTCAATTGTAACGGAAGATTATCTACAGTTTGGCACCAATTTTCGGTCGTTTGTATTGATGAGGCTGATACGTGTTTAAACTCCATATTAATTTTAATAATAATGAAAAAACTTTCAGAGTTTAAAAAATATATATTTGTAGTCACTGCTACACGTGTTTCGGTACACAGTACCGTCTTCAGGCAGAAGAGAAACTGGGGTTTTACTGTGTACCGAAACACGTGTAGCAGTGACTACAAATATATATTTTTTAAACTCTGAAAGTTTTTTCATTATTATTAAAATTAATTTTCGGTCGATTGAACCAATTTTAACCACTCTTTGGAAACTTTGGATTCACTTTTCGTGTTTCTAGGAACAGATATCGTGACGGCGATTTCAGATTCGTAACTATCGGAAAATTGTCTAGAATTTGACACTAATTTTCGGTCGATTAAACCAATTTTTACCGCTTTTTTGGAACATTTTTGGATTTACTTTTCGTGTTTTTTGGAACAGATATCGTGACGGCGATTTCAGATTCGTAACTAGCGGGAAATTGTCGACAATTTGACACTAATTTTCGGTCGATTGAACCAATTTTTACCACTTTTTTGGCAATTTTTTGGAAATTTTGAATTCACTTTTCGTGTTTATTGGAACAGATATCGTGACGGCGATTTCAGATTCGTAACTAGCGGGAAATTGTCCACAAATTGACACTAATTTTCGGTCGATTGAACCAATTTTTACCGCCTTTTTGGAAAATTTTTGGATTTACTTTTCGTGTTTTTTGGGACAGATATTGTGACAGCGATTTTAGATTCGTAACTAGCGGGAAATTGTAGACAATTTGACACTAATTTTCGGTCGATTGAACCAATTTTTACCACTTCTTGGAAAATTTTTGGAAATTTTGAATTCACTTTTCGTGTTTATTGGAACAAGTATCGTGACGACTCCAGATTTGTAATTACCGGAGGATCATCTATAATTTGGGACCAATTTTCGGTCGATCGAAGAAATTTTAACCATTTTTTTTTTGGAAAATTTTTGAAAATTTTGAATTCACTTTTTTTGTTTATTGGAACAGATATCATGACGGCGATTTCAGATTCGTAACTAGCGGGATATTGTAGATACCTTGACACTTATTTTCGTTCGATTGAACCAATTTTTCCCACTTTTTTGGAAAATTTTTGGAAATTTTGAATTTACTATTCGTGTTTATTGGAACAAATATCGCGACGGCGACTCCAAATTTGTAATTACCGGAGGATTATCTATAATTAGGCATCAACTATCGGTCGATTGAAGCAGTTTTAACCATTTTTTTGGAAAATTTTTGGAAATTTTTAATACACTTTTCTTGTTTATTGGAACAGATATCATGACGGTGATTTCAGATTCGTAACTAGCGGGATATTGTAGACACCTTGACACTTGTTTTCGGTCGATTGAACCAATTTTTAGCACTTTTTTGGAAAATTTTTGGAAATTTTGAATTAACTTTTCGTGTTTATTGGAACAGCTATCGTGACGGCGACTCCAGATTTGTAATTAGGGGAAGATTATCTATAATTTGGCGCCAATTATCCGTTGATTCAAGCAATTTTGACCATTTTTTTGGAAAATTTTTGGAAATTTTGAATTCTTTTTTCTTGTTTGTTGGAATATATATCATGACGGTGATTTCAGATTCGTAACTAGCGGGATATTGTAGACACCTTGACACTTATTTTCGGTCGATTGAACACATTTTTACCACTTTTTTGGAAAATTTTTGGAAATTTTGAATTTACTTTTCGTGTTTATTGGAACAGCTATCGTGACGGCGACTCCAGATTTGTAATTAGGGGAGGATTATCTATAATTTGGCACCAATTATCGGTGGATTGAAGCAATTTTCACCATTTTTTTGGAAATTTTTTGGAAATTTTGAATTCACTTTTCGTGTTTATTGGAACAGATATCGTGACGGCAATTTCAGATTCGTAACTATCGGAAAATTATCTACAGTTTGACACCAATTTTCGCTAGATTTAACCAATTTTCACCATTTTTTTGGAAATTTTTTGGAAATTTTGAATTCACTTTTCGTGTTTATTGGAACAGATATCGTGACGGCAATTTCAGATTCGTAACTATCGGAAAATTATCTACAGTTTGACACCAATTTTCGCTAGATTTAACCAATTTTAACCATTTTTTTGGAAAACTTTTGAAAATTTTGAATTCACTTTGCGTGTTTATTGGAACAGATGTGGTGACAGCGATTTCAGATTCGTAACTATCGGAAAATTATCTACAATTTGACACCAATTTTCGGTAGATTCAACCATTTTTATCCACAATTTGGCACCAATTTTCGGTAGATTGAACCAATTTTAACCATTTTTTTGGAAAATTTTTGGAAACTTTGAATTCACTTTTCGTTATATTTTGCCTTTTTTTCTTAATACTTTTTTGTACAACACGATCTTCAAAAACATGTTTTTAATTCCTTGTAAAAAAATAAGTATTTTGTAGTTAAGCTCCGCCCCTATGGTTCACGGCGAATTAAAAAAAATCATTACAATTGAGACAGGGCGGGTGGGCGGGCTTATATTTTTTCTTTTTGTTTTAAAATGTGTATAGTTCTTTTCACAACATGAAACTTAAAACATGTTTAAAATGGAAAATTTGTATAAGTTAATATCGACTTTGCAATTAGGCTTCGCCCCATAATTGCAAAACCCATATTTCCTTGCATAAACCATTTTAACCATGTTTTAAGTTTCTTGTTATGAAAAGATGGCTATGTATATTAAGAAAAAAAAAAAGGAAAATATTAGGATGTATTGTAATGAAGTCCGTCGGCCGACTCTCTACTTTTACATTTTCTCGACCTTTCTTGACCCCTAGAGTATGAAGAAATGGGTGAACTTAAATGCTAATATTTCTGCCAATAATTCATAATTGCCAACACAAACAATTTTGATGCAAAACTTTCGCAATCATTTCGTTAAAATATTAACAAAAAATAAGAGCTGTTAAATTAAATTGGTAAGAGAACCTAATGCAACTTGAGTTGTTGATATTAAAAGTCGGATTTACTAATTTTGTAATTAATATTCTTCTTGATATTCAAAATTTCTAAAAATTGTGACGAATGTTTGCATTTTTTTTTTGTCAGGTTGGCAACATATTTAAAATTTTGAGATGACACACCTAGTCAAATTGCCATTTGTGACACCAGTCAGTACCGGGCGTGGTTATGTCAAAATGGATAACTGTGAACTGACGAACTAGCATGACTGCCAATAATTGAGAATTGCCAACAGAAAAATTTTCTTCAATAATAGTCACCCGGTATTATAATTATTTTTTTTTAAATTATGAACTTTTATTCATTCATTTTTCTTTTTACTATGAGCAATTTACAGTCAAAGGTTTTTTAAAAATTTTCCTAGAAATTTTCATGATTTAAAATTGAAAATAATTATTATTGAAACTTTTGATAAATGACTTAGTTTATCATGAAAGTATTATCGACAGATGATAATTAATTAATAACTTAATTGCAGTATAATGTTTTAACTGATTTATTACTTAATGGTTCAACCATTCGTTCATGCAATGGTCAAGATTTCAGTTAAATTTAATTTAATTTTATTTAGCTAACTATTGATTTCAATTTTTTCAAAAAATGGCCAAATCAACTGACAGTTTCCGAAATTGAGAAAAAATGAATCTAATAAATGTTTAACGAACTTAAATTTACAGATATTTACAGTTTCAGCGGTGGTTTCAGTTGATGTTAGCAAATTTTGCTTGAAATTGGTAGAACTGTGTGGTGACCGAATTTGAATCAAATTAATTAACAGCGGCACGAAATGACATTTGAATAATTTGAATTTAAAAAAAAAATCAATCAAAACAATCGTTAAACAGAGGCAACCATGTGCACGTTAGCGCTTGGGGGCAGTTGGTAGCTCACTAGGGGATTTTTAGTTAGAGGGCGGTTGAGTAGACAAGATGGCGAAAGTATGGTGAAAGTGTCATGGTTGATTTGGGTGGTGTGTGTGTGAACATGGTGAAAAGACGCTGTAAATTAGTTGTTTTGGTAGTTAATAAAACGGATGACGCCCAGTTTTCCCCAACACGCGCAACGAATTCTTGCGGCTTTCTAATCGAAAAAGGCGAATTTTTGAACTTGTAAATTTAATTCATTGTTTGTAAGTTCACAGTTCATGTTAGGATTTTAATTGTTAACTGGTTCTAACACAATGCAACAAACATTCGCTAGGAGTTTTCATGAAATTTACTTAGTCACGACTCGTTTGATTTTGTTTGTCTAATTATGAATAAGTTTTTGGATGCTAATACGTAAGTGTTACATTATAACACTTCTTAATTTCTCAGACAAGAGTTTTAACTAACTAATCACTTGGATCAAGACATAATTTAACATAATGTAAATTTTATAAATTATCTGATGTCCAATTTTAAGCTCACATAAGTATTATTTGTTGTTTCAAATTTCTCGAGATTGTATGGCTAATTTAAATGTTTTTTATTGCTCTTTTTGACACTTTGACACTTGTTCAGTTGTAGTTTACTATCAGAGTTATAAAAATTGACCATTTAAATGGAATTGAGGTTAAATAACACCGAAACACGTGGTGGAAGCGGAGTGCGCGGTTCCTAGTCGAGCTGGCGGAATTTATCGCACCACCTGCACAAATGATGTAGGTTAGAATAGAATTCAGGGGCGGTCGAGATGACGCAACTGCGAGTTTGCGACCGTAAAAGAGATATGCTTTTCGGTAGGCTTGCGATAAAAACTCCGCTCATGCTATGGGTATTTTTGTTGTGCTCTAGAATAGTTTTTTATTCAGGCACGGTTATCACTACTACACTACTCTAGGAACAAATATTCAACAAATAAATTCTTCGAAATCCCCAGGATGTTCATATTTGCTGCACTGCTGTTATTTTAGATATTTTATATATTATTAATTAAATGTAAAAATGCTGAATAATAGTAATAAAAAAACGTCCTTGGCAAAAAATATTTTGACAGAAACAATTAATAAATGTCCTTCTGAGTATATTAAAACATTCTCGGAAAGTGGTATCAGAGTTCCAAGATCATAAAAAATGATCCTGAAAAAATCTAAATCCTCAATCTCAATATTGTCTTTGATTTACTACTGGTTGCTTAACACATATTTTATTAATATTATTGAAATACAATAAATTGCATCACATCCTTAAAAAAATCCAAATTTTGATTTTTTTTATTATACCGGGTGTCTGAAAAATGACGCTACGCTCTTAACAATCAACTGGTAAGTCTAAGAAAAGTACTAAAAAAAGTTCCTTCTCACATTTTGGTGAAGTTGTAATGATTTTAAAATTGGTTCTTCCTCTACGTTTAACAACTAAACAACACATTCATTATCACAATAACTAGTAATCAAATTTTTAGTTATGGTGACCGAATTTGAATCCAAATTTCGCGCTGAAAAAAATAAACAGCGGCGCGAAAGCACATTTGAGTAATTTTAAAAAAAGTTAAACATAGGCAATCATGTGCACTCTGGCGCTTTTGGATAGTTGGTAGTTCTGCTTGAAATTTTAGTTAGAGGGTTGTTAGAAGATGGGTGCTTGGTAGAGAGGTGAAAGCGTCATTGTTGGTTTGGTTCTCTGTGTGAAAGTTTAGATGGCTTGATAGTTAATAAAAGGTAGGAAGCCATTGTTTAACGACGAAAATGTGAATTTTTAACCGACGCTAACACGTGTAAGTTTGATTCATTATTTGTAAATTCACAGTTCATGTTAGGAGTTTAATCGTTAACTAGATCTAACACAATTTAACAATCAGGAATTTGCTTAGATAAATACTTGCTAGGAGATTTCATGAAATTTACTTAGTTGGGACTCGTTCGATTTTGTTAGTCTAATTATGAATGAGGTGTCTGGATCCATATAGTGAAGTGTTGCCCCACTGTGGACAAAGATAATATCGTGGACTGAGGTACAGGGGGATTAAAGATTTCTCTCCTTATGCAGTTATCATCGTTATTACCATCGTATCATCATCACATCACCGATACATTTATCTCGCAACGTCCCAAATTACATTACCGAAACATTTTATTTCTCTCAACTCTGGATAATTACATCACCGAGGAGCTTTCCTCGCAACGCCTGATGCATTTTGTGTTATTTATTTATCATGTGTTCTGTTGGGATAAACAGTTTACGATATAAACTCTCAAAACAAATTGTTTTAAGTAACCAATCACTTGGATCATGGCATAGCATTTATTGTTATTTTTTAAACTTTGACACTTGTTCAATTGTAGTTTAATATCAGACTCATAGAAAGTGAACATTTCATATGGAATTGAGGTTAAATAACACCGAAATACGTGGCTGAAGCGGAGGGCGCGGTCCCTAGTCGAGCTGGCGGGATTTATCGCTCGACTAGGCATGTTCTTTGTGATGAGCGGCAGTGCTTTCGATAGATAGAATCACCGTCGATGGTAGGAGAAGAGCCACGACCAGGAGCACCAAATTTCGCTAGGGGTATTTTTGCTATTTTTTATTAAAATTTTGTGCTCTTGTTGACTGCCATAATTTTAAATTTGCCGTCACACGCCCGTAATAACTTGTGTATTTGCATCGTCGCAGTTTTTTTATTTTGTCAGTGGAGGAATAAATAATTTTGTGTCCTCCATAAATTTAGCGTTTTATGTTCCACCATTGACATTTGAACGCACCCCCCCATTTTTTAAAACGCAATGTAGGGTTCCACAGGCAAGACAAAATTTTGAATTTTTTAATTTTTCACAGGTTTTCAATCTTTTTTCATATGTCAATTTAAGGCGGGATGTTTGGGTTATCAATATTCAGTCAATGTTTCTGGTGTTTTATTTTCAGATAAATTTAAAGCAATCTAACACTTTTGGGGGACTTTAATGTTCTATTTTTGGAAAATTCTGGCCTGACCTGTTTTTGAGTTAATTTTGGATCCAGTTTTTTTTTTTTAATTTAAAACAATCTTGAAGTTCTAGGTATTCTTGTTTGGAAAGAATTTGAAAGTGCTTTGGAGCCTCTAGTGTCTTTTCTTATTACAATTTAATTAAATTTCTTACAGGATACGTCATTTGCCAAAATTAGTCTTATCTTAGCAGGTACTAGCCCCGCCCACCCACCCTCTCTTTTCTTAGAGGGTATGTCATTTGTCAAAATCAGTTTTATCTTAACAAGTGCCTACTCATAACAAACTTTTGTAAAAAATGATCAAAATTTGAAAACATTACGAGCTGCACAAGAGAGGAATTATTAACATCTTTAGTGTTTAGTTAGTTATGCCTTAATTGATTTTTCTTTTGTTCTTTATTAAAAGAAACATTTAATAAGACATTTATAAATTATAAATTATAAATGTTTTTTTTTGGTTTATTTATTAATGAAAAATAAGTACTGCTTGTTTTATTAATAGCAATAATAATGCACAACGATTAATGGCTACTGATTGTTATGGTTATTGTCTTAAAAAAATGACAATCCTGTATTGGTAAGTTTATTAGATGGTCAAAATGAAGTTTAATAAGGGATCAAGCACAGACGAATGAAATTATTCAAATTAACAATTTAAATTAAATCAAAATTTATTATTGCTTATTATCGAAAGGTCATAATAATCTTGCTCCACAGAATTCGTTCATCAAATGCAGTCACTATAATTTGATCTTAATATGGTAGAAAGTGATAATACGTAGTGTACGTATTTCTGTCGGGCGCATTTTACTTTATTTACAATTTCGTTCAATTGTAAATATTTTCGTACCAATTTTCGTTTTTTATGCTAGAAATGTGTGCGTGCCCCTCCATTAGACGAAAATATTGAGTGGGGATGTTTTAGGACAACTATCAATTTTATTTTAGTAACATTCCGGTTGGCTGTTGGTCAGCTTGTCTGTCACCTCTGGTTACACCCACTTCGTACGAGTCTTACGTCAAATTGATCATAACCTTCAACTCCAAATTAACCGCAATTTAAAACATTTATCAATAATTTAGTAAGTACCGCGATTTTCACAGTTCTTATCACCTTTCCATGACTCACCCAAAAACATCGCCGTTTTACCAAGACCTGACAATTTCCACATTTTCACAGTCATAAAATTTTATAGCTTCAAGATGTTTGATCAAGTGTTGTTTGAACAACGCCTCAACGACTTCAAACCCGAGCCCCTAATCACCCCAAATGAGGCCACCGACGACCCTCTGGAGATCCCCATGGTGCAGGAAAACCCCAACAACATCGACTTAGCAAAAGTAAACTACTTAAACCTTCTCGACAATGAAGAAATTAAACAAGCGTCTGAGAGCATAATCAGGGAGTATGGCGTCGGAACGTGCGGACCGCGCGCTTTTTATGGTAAATTAACACACCAGTTAATATTAATTAATTAACTATAAATGACTAGGCACCACCGATGTTCACTTAGAGCTAGAGCAAGCCCTAGCGAAGTTTCTGCACATGGAAGAATCGATTCTGTACTCCTACGGCTTCGTGGCCATCTCGAGCTCAATCGCCGCCTACTGCAAGAAAAACGACGTAATTTTCATCGACGAAAACGCCAATTTCCCCATTCATCAAGGACTAACGGCCGCGCGCAGCAAAGTCGTTACTTTCGCACACAACGACCCCCAGGACTTCAAAAGAAAAGTCCAGGAAGTGCTAACCAAAGAGAAACGAAAAACCAAAAAATACTTAATTATTGAAGGAGTGTCCTGGAGTACGGGCAAATTGTGCCCTCTCCCCGAATTTCTGGAAGTAGCTGAAGAGTTTCAAGTTAGAGTGTTTCTGGAAGAGAGTTACACTCTTGGGGTTTTTGGAGCGACAGGTCGTGGCTTGACTGAATACTTTGATATTGACGTGAGCCGAGTTGATATGATTATTGCTACTCTGGAAGGGGCTTTGGGGTCGATTGGGGGCTTCTGTGCCGGTACTATGAGTATCATTGAACACCAGAGGCTGTCGGGGTCGGGGTATATCTTCTCGGCTTCGTTACCCACGTATTTGGTGAAAGTTGTCTTGAAGGGGCTACAATTAATCGGGGATAAGCCAGTCAAGTTTGCAGAGTTGGCTAAAACGTTTCATGATTTTTTACAAGGAGAGTGTGGGTTTAATGTGGTGAGTCATCCAGAAGCTCCGTTTAAGTTAGTCAGAGTTGAGTCAAAGATAAGAGAGGGAGAGGTTTATCAGTATTGTAAAGAGAGAGGGGTTCATTTTATACAGAATGAGAATGGATTGGTGATTAATTTAAATTTGAAGTTGTTTGATGATAAGGAGAGATTGGGACGGGTTTATGAAGTATTAAAGGAAGCATCTGATTTGATAAATTAACGTAGGTGATTTTATTTATACTAAAGTATTTTAATTGAGTTGTTAATTATTTAAAGATCGGCAATAAAGTTTTAACGAGCGTTTTATTAAGGTATGGAGTGGTTTTTTGCACACATGTTACTATAAAACTATTTTGTAGCCCGATAATGGTGATAAAAGATCACTTTAATGATTTCGAAAAATGTGACGTAGGCAACCATTAATACATTGTTACATATTACATAACGGCTGTGTTTTTGTATTTAACTATGATTTAAATATATCAAATATTCGATTTTTGATTAATACAAGTTTAGTAAAGAGTTTTGTTGTGTGTGATTATTGTTTATTTATTTGTTTAGTTGTTTATAATATTACAATGTCGGCCCGCCGTTTTCGCGGTGTTGGCCATCCTGGTCCCCAGATTTCGCATTCGCGACAAACCTAAAATCACTAAACCAGTGGTCGTATTTGCGAAATGGCTGCCGTTTTAGATTATTTTTCAATAGGAAGTACAGTATGGTGCAGGACATGTTATAACACAGAAATCGAAGGGGAGGTGATGGCGTTCGACCCCCAAGTGAAAATCTTAATTCTGAGTATCCTTTTTGTTGCAAAAGTTGGTTCGACCTCAATTAGGTTAAGTACTGTCAGTCATGTTGTTTCCTTAATTTCTGGCAGAATGTACTTCATCGAGCGGTGATTCTAAACTAAATGACGTCCACTTCGTCAATCTATCGTTGGTTAGTGAATTACAGGTGAAAAAGGAAGTGACTTCAGTGCCTGAAGTACCACAATCACTAAACCTGCAGAGGGTGAGTGTAGGCAGTGTTTAGATCGTGTTTAACCGAGTTGTTGTAGCTAAATACTCGAGTGCGGAACCAGGTGGACAAGAAACGTCGAATTTTACAAGCAATCTCAGCGAATGTGTCGTCGGAGGGGCAGAGTTTATTTATAGCGATCGCGAAAACGATAAAGGAAGTTCGGTGGAGGAACTCTGACATTGTCGTGTGGAACCAGGAGGTGATAATCAGCCCGCCGTACCAGCTGGAGAACATCCGAGGGGACACCAAAAGCAAAGAATACAACTACATAAAGAAAGTCGTCGAGAAACACATGAAAGACCTAGCGATGAACTCTCAGAACACCACACAAGTTCAGAACACAACACAATAAACCCGACGCTAACTTATTTTAGTTGAATTCAAATTCCGCATAGTATTTTCTCAAATAATTCCGTTTCCCCTCAAACCGTAGACGTTCCGTCTTTTGTTTTGTTTTTCAATTTTATTGGTGTATTAATATTTTTCTTAAGGAAAATAAATTGTACAAAATTGTTTGGGGGATTTTCGTTCTGGTCATTCTCCACGCGCAGTTTTCAGGTTGGCAGCACGTCAGTAAATGCGTTTGATTTGGTGGCATTTTTTAACGAAACTTTGAGGCGATTTACAAATGGTTTGCGCTCCAGACTCGCCAGAATCCGTTCGAATGCGCTTATTTGCGTTATTTTCTCCACGAGACTCGCACAATTAACGGTTCCGACCCGACAGAACCTCAAAAATCCGAGCAGTGACGCCATTTTCATAAATCTGTCAAACCTAACCAAGGTCCGTCTGTCAAATAATTAATTTAGAAGTAAACAATAATATTTGCGAAAATTTTTCACGATTGGGCGAATTCCGGGAATCGGGATGAGTTTCCGGGAGTTCGGCGGTGCCTGCGGTGCGCGAATGTGTGTCACAAGTTTTTAGGTCAAAACTAGGCAATATGGGCAAATTATGGCGAACTCCCAGTACCATCATGTAAGGAGGTTTATGGGATAGCTTGGGACGATGCACCGAGCGAAAAAACCAACAATAACCGATCTGAACCAGCATCTAACCTGTAAACTGTGCAAAGGTTATTTCATCGATGCTACCACCATCATCGAGTGTTTACATTCATGTAAGAGTGTTACCGAGTAGAGGAATTGTTTAATGTTGCTTGTAGTTTGCAGAAGCTGCATCGTTAAGTATCTCGAGACGAACAAATATTGCCCAGTGTGCGATGTGCAAGTACATAAGACCAAACCGTTACTTAACATCCGTACGGACAAAACTCTACAAGATATCGTCTACAAATTGGTTCCAAGACTGTTCCAAAGTACGTATGGTGGCCACACTGACAAATTCATAGCCAAATTAACATAATTTCTTTCATTATTCTGTCAAGATCATAAAACAAGCAAGTATGGATAAACAAGCACATTATCATACATATTATTTATTAATTCAAGCAGGTGTTTAGATCAGATGAGTAAGACACTTGAATCACGTCATTCATAAGTCAAACAACAATTTTCATCCTTTTTTTTTTGTATTTATTGTTTTCAATGATTATTGTTTGGACAAAAAACAACAATCAAGCAGTAAAACATCCACATTGTACAATTACAACTCAAATTGTTTTTATTATTACTAATAAAGATAGCTCGTGATCAATAAAAATCGTTGTCCAGCTGGCATTAAATGATTAGTTGTCTTTCTCATCCCATTGTACTCAGCAGGCCATGAGAAAGACAGTTTGCTCAACTAGAGTCAGTTTTTGTTGATCACACCATATCTCTTACGTCATACTTACGTCATCACAGATATAGTTCTAAATTGTGTTTACTGTGATTTGTTTATTATTTTGAACGCATTTTAGGGGGTTAACAAAAAAAATATATTTGGTGACTCAAAAAAACGGGATTATGTTTCTGTCTTAAATGGATGTGATTTCCCGCCAAATTTCAACTTAGTAATTTACATGTTATTATTGCGTTTTTTTTTTCATTTATTTCATTACATTATTATCACACTCGTGTGATTACACAACCCGGCTGACGCCTCGTTGTGAGCAAACTTCACACTTGTATGGTAATGAGGCTTTTATTCACACGTAACCAGTTTTAAATTTACAAACGAAATTACTATATTTATTTATTGTTTACACAAAAGTGGATATACATGTTAAAAAATATATAAAATCAAAGTTATGAGATAGAGGACAGCATGAAAAATGAGCACCCGTTTTTCCGTCTGTTTGTTCAATTGCTCCTCCTTTTTCCTTTTTTCCTCATCCTTTGTATGTTTTCCTTCTCTCTCCATGTTTTGTTCCGTCTTCTCTTCCATTGTTTCGTGTTGTCTGTGTTTTTCTTCTTTCATTATTAACTAAAAAAAAAAAAACGGTTTTACTCCAATTACGAAATTTTAATGTGTGTATATAAGAATTAAAATGAAGTTAGCCCTTGAAGCTTGATTATTACATAAAACGAAACAATGAAGACACCAATCACTTCACTAAATTCGCATTTTCTGGTGGTTAAAATGTAAATTTCTGACCATAGCGGTCTACGTTCAGCTGTACAATGACTGATTGCAATAAAAACTGAGAACTCGTAAAGATAACCAGGTCGACAAAAAATTTTAATTTAAAAAACACACTGCATCAGATACTTTAATTTAAATTAAATGTATGTTGGTATCAGTTTCAGTTTTTTTCTAATAACTGTATCATAAAAAATAAGTATTAAATCATGAACAATTTTTCGGTGTTTGTTTCGTTTTATGAATATTATGATTGCTTTTTTTGTCGGCGACGACGTAAAGACACCGACTATACTCAATACTATAAAGAATAAAATACATCGTAAAATATATCGGGGGTTTATGAATCCGCCTTGAGTTTTTTACTAACAATTTTAAAATGAAATTTGATTTTGTTATTATTTTTACTGTCTACACGATATTGCTAAAATACAAACAAAATCGACACAGACGAGAGACGATAGACCGAAACGGGTCCTACTTTTTCATGTTCTGGGAGTCGTGAATTATCGAGAAAAAGTCCGTGGTTAATTTATTTTGATTTAAATTCCATTTAAAAACGTAATATACATTATGTTTTCGTAATTATTGTAAAGAAAATTAAAAAACAAGAATTATTTAAATCACTGATATACAGGGTGTTTCTTTAATATTCTAAAATCTATACTTAAAAAGTTATTCAATAAAATGGACGAAAAATTCATATTTATTGATGACAATCTAATAATTCACAGAAGTGATCTTTTAAAATTATACAAAAAAGAAAATAAACACGTGGTATGTTAGGAATATCTTTGGAATCATCCCTACTAACACTTTGATGACGTCACCTTAAAATTGTATATAGTGACTGTTGTCGAAATTTTATAAAATAACACACTTTGTACTTGTAGTTTATGAATCCGCCTTAAGTTTTGCAAAAAAAAAACTTTGGTTTGATCGCAATGCGAACGTCAAGGGTTCGATTACCGTATGCGGCATTTTTTTTTACTTCACCATAACTGGGACCTATATTTTTTAACTTATAGGATTTATCATAAAAAAAATAAATTTCCCAAAATCAAATATTATAATTTTTCAAAGAAACGGGATTTATTGGATTGTACTTCAGAAGCTAGGGAAGTGCTATTTAAATAACCTTTGACCAATTTTCCTCCTATTTTCATGCGAAGAAGACGCTCCTCAAGTTTTTCGCATATTTTAAGAATCACTCTGTACATCGCTTTATACAGGGTGAATAACTAAACGCGCCTTCGATGTCACATTTATTATTATTATTATTAATAAAAAAAATTAAAGACTTGTATAGCGCTGAGTAAAATACACTTAAATTATTTTTGTTATACATAGTGTTGTGTTTTTGAGGCGTAGCACACAACTTATTTTTTTAATAATAATAATAATGATGATATTTATTTTCTACAGGTGTTATCATCCAATTACAGAAAATAACTTAATTTTTTAATTAATAAACAGTAGTTTTTACTAAGTGGAACATCCTTCCTAGATTTTCTAACCTAATTTCGATGTGACGCGACACATCGTTCCAGTTCACAAAAAAGGAAAATAGAGTTATTTTTAACATTGGTGTTTTAAATTTTTTCTTGTTTTGTTATATTTTCTTTTCAAACTATGAAAATAAAATGCGTATTTCGGTCTTTTTGGGTGCATTTTAAATCAAAATAAATCGAATGTTGACTAGAACAAAATAAAAAGTGTCTCGATTTTCAGATTATTTCCGAAACAATTGGACTGATTGTTCACAAGTTTTATTTGTATTTTGTGAATATCGTGTATCGTAAAACGCTAACCAAATTTGTTTGATCATCCCCCACCAACAGTTGATGACGTCAACTAAAATATTGCAGAGCAAATGTTATTTAAATTTTATAAAATAGCATAATCCTAAAGTTGTGGTTTATGAATCTGTGTCAATTTTTAATAACTAAACAAAATATAAAGCACTGTCGAAAACTGAAGAAACATAATTAAGACTCATAACTTTGATAATTGACCACTTTTAGAGTTTTAATTGGAAATAATAAAGAAACTAAAAAAAATCCTGATTTAAAAAAATATTTTCTATTGAATTTTTTTACAACTCTGATATAGAGTGTTTATATAAAATTCTGAAATATGACATTTTCAAATATCCATGTTTCAGTTTTTTTTTTTTTTTAACTAAAACACCCTGTATCTCACCGTGTTTGTATTGTCATTCTTTGAATATGTTGCTGGTCTTAAAATAGTGAAAAATCGCAGAAAATATCCTGGATCCAGAAAATATTTAACAAAAAAGGATGAATAAGGGCAGAATAAGATACAGGGTGTTTTTTTGAAAAAATTTAAATATCGATATTTGAAAATTTTTATCGAAATTTTAGACTGTCAATTAAATTCACGTTAAATTATATTAGAATTACGAAGTTAATTTGAAGTTTTTATATTTTCTGGACGTCTCATGACCTCTAAAGTACGAAACAAGTGGTCTCCCGTTTCCGTCCGTCTGTCTGTATCCATTTTTATTAGACAAGTAATCTCCGAAACTACTGGACCGATTGTTGTCACATTTTGTATGTACATATATTAGGAATATCCGGTACATGGTTAAACGGTAACTAGAATTTTGATAATCATCCCCACCTCCAATGATACTCTTGTACTTGTGGTATATGAATCCGTGTGAATTATCGCTTTAGATATCCAGAATTTTTGGAAAAAGTTCAAAATTTAATGACAATATTTTGCAATATAACTTTGAAATTGCAAAACCGATTTCTCTAAAATCTTGTAAATATTTCAAGGTTATCGTAATCATGGTAAATCGTTTAGCAAAATTTATTCGTTTACCCCCTCCCAAAAAAATTGATGATTTCAAAATTTTGCGGCTTACTCGATTTTCCCGAAAATTTGGGAATGCAATACTGTTAATGATGATGAGAAAGCAATAGCCCCGCCCACCCACCCCTCTTCATTCCAGTGACTACTCTTAATATTGTTTAGTTTTATCTTAGCAACTTCTAGCCCCGCCCACCCGCCCTTTATTTTCTTAGAAGAGTATGTCATCTGCCAAAATCAGTTTTATCTTGGCAAGTATGAGACTGATTTTTGCAAATGACAGATCCTCTAAGAAAATAAGGGTGGGTGGGCGGGGCTAGTACTTGTCAAGATAAGACTGATTTTGTTTGATGACCCACTCTTCTAAGAAAATAAAGGGTGGGTGGGCGGGACTAGTACAAGATAGGACTGATTTTGGCAGACGACCCACTCTTCTAAGAAAATAAAGGGTGGGTGGGCGGGGCTAGTACTTGCCAAAATGAGACTGATTTTGGCAGATGATTTATTCTTCTAAAAAAGTAAAGGCTGGGTGGGTGGCGGGTGGGGCTAGAAATAGAACCGAAAGTAACTTTTGTAGGTCCAAATCTATAAGAAAATGTCTTTCGAAAATGATCCAAAATGAGCAGAAATTTTCATATTGAGAAATTTTGTTTTTGAAAAAGTTGCAGAAAAACTTCTATAAAAAGTCTGAGATGTAGATTTCGACGCGTTGATTCCAAAAATATAACGTGTGTGAGGTCCCGGGTCAACAATTTGGAAGTATTCGGCTTGAAAACCGATTTTTTTGGAAAATCTTAAAAATTGCCTTATTTCAATTGAAAATTCCGGGAAAATGGCAAGAGTTATGGAAGAAATAGAACCGAAAGTAACTTTTGTAGGTCCAAATCTATAACAAAAAGTCTTTGGTTAAATTTCGAAAATGGTCAAAAATGGGTAGAAATTTTCATAAGGGGCGGGTATTCAGAAATTTTGCTTTTAAAAAACTTGCAGAAAAAATTCTACAAAAATTCTGAGATGTAGATTTCGACGCGTTGATTCCAAAAATATAACATGTGTGAGGTCCTGAGTCACCATTTTGGAAGTATTAGGCTTGGAAACCTATTTTTTTGGAAAATCTTAAAAATTGCATTATTTCAATTGAAAATTCCGGGAAAATGGCAAGAGTTATGGAAGAAATGGAACCCGAAGTAACTTTTGTAGGTCCAAATCTATAACAAAATGTCTTTAGTTAAATTTCGAAAATGGTCAAAAATGGGTAGAAATTTTCATAAGGGGCGGGTATTGAGAAATTTTGCTTTTGAAAAACTTGCAGAAAAATTTCTATAAAAATTCTGAGATTTAGATTTCGACTACTAAAAATATAAAAATCAGAAATCAAAAAATGACAAATTGAAAAATCAGATAAATAAGAAATCGGAAAATTGTACAACTGTATAATCAGAAAATCAAAGCTAAAATATCGAAAAATTGAAAAAAAAAACAAATCTTATAGAATCGAATTCGAAATCCCTGTTTTCTTTTTTTTTAGTTTATAGGTTTTTCAACTTTTGAATATTTCATTTGATAATTTTTTTGACAATTTTGCAGTTTTTAATTTCAACCTTTTGATTATATTAAAAAATCGAATGACTGAAAATTAAAGAAAACAAAAAACTGACAGGAGAAATTGCAACTTCAAAAATTTAAAATTGAAAACTCGAGAAACTTGAATCTAAAAATTGAAAATTTCAAAGGATGGAAAATTGAAACACAGAAAAATATTCGAAAAAATTGAAAAATCTAAAAATGGAATAGGAAATAGAAAAATTGAAGAATTAAAAAATGAAAACTCCAGGAGTTGCATATTGTAAATTTGAACAAACAAAAAATAAAAATCAAAAAATTGCAAATCAAAGATTGAAAAAATTGAGATTGACAAAACAAATCGAAAAAATTAAAAAATATATTAAAAAACAGACCGAAAAAATTGCAAATCGAATATTCGACGAAACAAAAAATTAAAGAATCGAAAATTGAAAAATCTAAAAATTAAAGAATCAAAAAAATAAAACTTGAAAAATCGCAAAAAAATTGAAACAATTAAAATTGGAAATACATTTATAAAATCATATCTAACATTGAAAAATCGAATAACTTTAAAAATAAATAAACTAGAAAATTGAAACGAAAAATTGCAAACTCAAAAAATTAAAATTGAAAACTCCAGAAACTTAATTAAAAAAAATGCAATTTTCGAAAAACTGAAAAATTTAAACTTGAAAATTCAAAAAATTGCTAATTGAAAAATCGAAGAAAGATTTTTAATTTTTCAAGTTCTCAAGTTGAAATTTTTCCTTTTCACGATTTGTCATTTTTCGATTTTTTACTAAAAGAACAAATTTATTCCAACCGAAATTTTGAAAAATCGAACAATCCAAAATTGAAAATTAGAAACAAAATTTCAGATGTTTTAAAGTTACGGTGAACATGGCAATCGGTGATCAAAATTACTTTTTACTCCTTTCCAAAAAGTCGGCGACAAAAAATCAAAAATCGAAAATTCAATAAAATATACATCTATTTTCTCGATGTTTATAAAAATCAAATAATTGAGAAATCGGAGAACTGCCACAATTGTAAAATTAAAAAATCGAAAGACAGATTAAAAAATTGTAAAATTTAAAAAGCGAGAAATTGAAAAATTCGAAAGTTGAAAAATCTGGAGCTACTATTTGCTAAGATAAGACTGATTGTGGCAAATGACATAACCTGTAACAAAATGACATCCTTTGAGAAAATAAAAGCCGAATAGGTGGATCTAGAACAATACTTACTGGAATTTTTTTCCTGATTTAATCAATAAAATAAATTGACTCATTTTGTTTGATCATCCCCATTAACAGTCTGATGACGTCAAATAAAAATATTGCATTGTAAAAGTTAGAATTTAAATTTTATAAAATAACGTACTCTTGAAGTTGTGGTCTATGAATCCGTCTAAATTTTTAATTTGTAGGGGTTATCATAAAAATAAATAAAAATCGCAAAATCAAATTCGAAGAAACTGTATTTGTTGGATTGTATTTTTGTGTGTTAAAATTCATGGTCAAATAAAACACCCTGTATTTTATTACTGTATGTTACTGTGTTTGTATTGTCATTCTTTCAATAAGTTGGTGGTGTTAAAAAGTGAAAAATCGCAGAAAATATCAACTTAAAAGCAGAGTAAGATACAGTAATAACATACAGGGTGTTTTATTTGAAAAAATTTAAATATCAATGTTTGAAGATTGAAATATGGATAGTAGAACCTCGATCATCCAGAACGATTAATTATTGGACAATTTTGACAAAAAGATCTACAATAAATTTCGGGCATTTCGAAATTTCCATAAATAATTGAGTGTTATGTTGAGAAATGTAACTTAATATGTCACTTCAAGAACTGTGCAATTTAATATGTGCTTTTTTCTATTGCGTAAATGAGATGGTAAAAATTCAAGGCGGATTCATAAACCACCGATACATGAATATGTTATTTTATGTTTAATAATAATTGATAAAAGTTATATTTTTCTTAAAAAATAGTGTGGAATGTTTCAGATGAAGTCCAGAGGCGGCGCGACTTCTACCTGTCTCACCCCGAGGCGAAGCCCAACCTAGACCAAATAGGCGAAAACTACCAACACATCATCACTCCAGACGAGTCAGTCTCCTTGACAATGTGCTATTACGGGTGTAAAGAATCGGCACGTTATCTCCGCTGCCCCGCCGCCGTCTCGGTCGGGCACTTGCAAAAACTGATCCGGGCCAAGTACGGTTTGTTTGATAATCATCATGTAGATATTTTGTACAATCAAGATTGCCTTAACTCCACGTTGACGTTAATGGACGTGGCATATATTTATTCGTGGAAGAGGAAAGCGCCGATCGAGCTCAGCTACCGCATCTACGAGTACACCTCGAAGAAGCCGAAACTCGAGGCGAAGAAGCAGGACGAGGAGGAGATCGTCCAAACGAACAACAACAACTGGAAGGAGGTGCAGTTGCGAATAAGCGAGAACGGCGAAATGTCCATCATCCAGGACGAAGCCCTCGAACTTGTAAATAATAACAATTACAAACCGGAAATCGTTACGGTTGTCGATAATAAAGTGACCAAAAAAGAGTTACCCGAACTTAAGTTTATCGGTAAGTGTACGTTGCCCGAGAGTGCTACGACCACGTGCGTTACGTTATCGTCGAACACGAACACGACGACGGTTTTCAGTACTATCAATTCGACAAAATGCAGTGTCTCGAGTGACAGTGACAAGAAGCCCGAGGCGCAGCCGAGGCAGGACGACCCCAAGCCGGAGCCGTGCGTCGAGAAGGAGAAAGACAAGGGGGTGAAGCGGAAGAGCGAGACGCCGCCGCAGCCGCCCCCGAAGCCGCCCAAGCAGACCATCCTCAACCACTCCATCGGCTTGCACAACCTCTCGAACAACCACCCGCTGAAGAAGCACTCGCAGCTCAACAAGACCGAGGCGGCGGAGAAGCCCGACGAGGTCGTCTTCTCCAAGCCGAACATAATCAACAAGAGTCTGACCACGGTGAATTCTAGCAGACCTGGAACGCCTAAACCTGTCACGAAGCCTTGCTATATGCCTAAACCGGTCATCAGCGTCCCGAAGCCTAGCACGAGTATCGTGAGTAACGCGGGCGCGAAGAACGAGAAGGCGCAAGCGACTTGTCCGAGTGCGACGAAGGCGGAGACGAAGGTCACGCCCACTGCGGCTCCTGCGCCTGCGCAGGCGCTTCCGCAGGTGTCGCAACAGCCGACCAAAATGATCAAGACCAAGCCGAGTACGCCGATTGGGTACAAGACGCTGAGGGACCCGCCCAAGAGCTGGAACTCGCAGATCGCGAAAGCTAACATTAATAAGCCGATTAGCGATCCGAAGTATGGCGATTTGAAGAACGTGAGGCCGGCGAAGTTCTTCAAGATGAGGAATAATCTTCCGAGGTAAGGTGGTGATGAAGAAATTTCTTCTCAAAGGCTCAGTTACTGCGAGGAATTTTTTTAGATCTTTTAAAGGGTATAGAAGTGTATCGAGGGGTCTAAATTTTCAAAATTTCTCATCATTTATGACAGTTCTTTTTTCTTAATCAAATATTAAAAGAAAAAACAATAAGGGAGGATTGTTTAAAAAAAAAATCATGGCCTGCCAAAGGACTTTTTATGTATAAAAAATTCTACATCAAGTTTGCTTTGAAATTTCATGAATTTTGCCGCTTCGTCGTGATGAGTTAATGTTTTAGTAATTAATAGTCTCTGCTGACTGATAGATAGGCAACCAACAATTCAGGTGGCATTATAGATTTTGTCATCTTTGTCATAGAAGTGGCAAATTCTTATTAAAAATGAGTGACAGATTTTTTTATGATGCCTCTTATAATTCCGCAGAAGTTGTGTATGTTCAACTTAAGAATATAGATTTTGTCAAGTGCCTTAAGATAGTAATTTCAGTTTTGAAAATTTGCATTTTGCAACAATGCCTCAACAACCTCCAATGTAGAAATTTATATAAATATCACGGTTGTATTCAGGAAAATAGCTTTTTATCGAGTATTAACTAGATTAACAAATCTTGACATAAAATCAATAAATTCATTTTACAATAGAAAAATACGATCGTGTACGGGGTTTGGCGACTGCCAACCTCCAGAACCAGCATCTGCGTTGAACACTGTATTGATGACTTTATTTGCAAAAAACGGAGCTCTTTGAAAACTTTCTCTAAAGTTTGGTAAAAATGCCCTCGGGTTTATGATTTTGAAAATGGAAAATTTGAACATCTTTTTTTTTATTTCAACGGTTTTTTTTATTAACTCAATTAAGAAAGGAGACAGTGAGTTGCCCACTTTTATTGATTCATGTTGTTGTAAAAATTATCCGTTGAGTTGAAAAATTGGCAAACTAAAAAGTATTAAATTCAGTGACCAGCATCTGCGTTGAACACTCTATTCTTATAAATAATTTTAGTAATAATAATAGTAACAATAATGATTTTATATGCCAACAGACTGAGTTTTTTTGAACACTTTTTCTAAAGTCTGGCAAAAATGTCCTCGGTTTATATTTTTGAAAATGGAAAATTCGTAGATCTTTTTTTAATTTGAAAGTTTTTTTTTGTTGACTCGATTATGAAAGACGACAGTGAGTTGCCCACTTTTATTGATTTATGCTGTTGTAGCAATGATCCGTTGAGTTGAAAAATTGACAGAACAAAATTACAATAAACTCTATTCAGCGTGTTAAGGATATGTAGTTTTACATTATTTTGTTGCAAATTTCCGCCCCTTTTGGCAGCTACCTATTTAGGTGTTTATCTCTGATGAAAAGTATTTAATTCAGGGACGGACTGCGCTATTTATATGTAGGACCAGCATCTGCGTTGAACACTCTGTTCTTCTAAATAATCGTAGTAGTAATAATAATGGGAATGATTTTATGTGCCAACAGACTGAGTTCTTTGAAAACTTTTTCTAAGGTTTGGCGAAAATTTCGTCGAGTTTATCTATTTGAAAATTGGAAGATCTTTGTTTTTTTAATTTGAAGATTTTTTTTTTCCTCAATTATAAAAGGCAAGAGTGAGTTGCCGACTTTTTTTGATTTATGCTGTTGTAGAAATTATGCGTTGAGTTGAAAAATTGACAGAACAAAATTACAATAAACTTTATTCAGCGTGTTAAGGATGTGTAGTTTTACATTATTTTGTTGCAAATTTCCACGCCTTTTGGCAGCTACCTATTCTTAATTTCTGACGAAAAGTATTAAATTCAGGGACGGACTGCGCTATTTATATGTAGGACCAGCATCTGCGTTGAACACTCTGTTCTTCTAAATAGTCGTAGTGATAATAATAATGGCAATCATTTTATGTGCCAACAGACTGAGTTAAGGTCTGGCAGAAATTTCGTCGAGTTTATCTATTTGAAAATTGAAAATTCGAAGATCTTTGTTTTTTTTTTTTAATTTGAAGATTTTTTTGACTCAATTATGAAAGGGGACAGTGAGTTGCCCACTTTTATTGATTTATGCTGTTGCAGAAATTATCCGTTGAGTTGAAAAATTTACCGAACAAAATTACAATAAAATTTATTCAGCGTGTTAAGGATGTGTAATTTTACATTATTTTGTTGCAAATTTCCGCGCCTTTTGGCAGCTACCCATTTAGACGTTTATCTCTGATGAAAAGTATTAAATTCAGGGGCGGATTGCGCTATTTATATGTAGGACCAACATCTGCGTTGAACACTCTGTTCTTCTAAATAATCGTAGTAATAATAATAATAGCAATGATTTTATGTGCTAATAGATTGAGTACTTTGAAAACTTTTTCTAAGGTGTGGCAGAAATTTCCTTGAGTTTATCTTTTTGAAAATGGAAAATTTGAAAATATTTTTTTTAATTTGAAGGTTTTTTTATTGGCTCAATTATGAAAGAAGACAGTGAGTTGGTCACTTTTATTGATTCATGCTGTTGTAAAAACTATCCTTTGAATTGAAAAATTGTTAAACAAAATTACAAGGAGTTTTTTTCAACGTGTTAAGGATATGTAGTTTTACATTATTTCGTTGCAAATTTCTACACCTTTTGGCAGCTACCTACTTAGGTGTTCATCGCTGATGAAAAGTATTAATTAAATTCAGGGACGGACTGTGTAATTTATATGTAAGACCAGCATCTGCGTTGAACACTCTGTTTTTCTAAATTATTAGTAATAATAATAATAGCAATGATTTTATGTGCCAATAGTCCAAGTTCTTTGAAAACATTTTCTAAGGTCTGGCAAAGGGATACAGTAAGTTGCTAATTTTTATTGAATCATGTTGTAGTGAAAATTACCCGTCAAACAATAAACTTTAGATACATAGTTTTACTTTATTTTTATGAAAATTTCCACGCGTTTTGACAACTACTGTGTAGGTGTATATCTTTAATGAAAAGTATTAAATTCGGGGATTGACTGCGCTACAAATTGTAGGACCAGCATCTGCGTCGAACACTCGATTCTTCTTGATAATCATTATAGGAATAATATTACCAATGATTTAATTCGCCAATAGACCGAGTTCTTTAAAAACATTTTCTAAGGTCTGGCAAAAATTTCCTTGTCGGATTTATCTTTTTGAAAGTAATAGATTCTAAGATATTTTTTTTTATTAGAAATCTTTTTGAATCAATAATGAAAGGAGACAGTAAGTTGTTCCTTTTTATTGAATCATGCTGTTGCGAAAATCATCCGTCAAATTGAAAAATTGCCAAAATAAAATTACAATAAACTTTAGATCTATAGTTTTACTTTATTTTTCTGAAAATTTGCACACGTTTTGGCAACTACTTGTGTAGGTGTTTATCTCTGATGAAAAGTATTAAATTCAGGGACTGACTGCGCTACATATTGTAGGACCAGCATCTGCGTTGAACACTCTATGCTTCTTAATAATCATTGTAGTAATAATATTACCAATGATTTAATTTACCAATAGACCGAGTTTTTTGAAAACATTTTCTAAGGTCTGGCAAAAATTTCCTTGTCGAATTTATCTTTTTGAAAGTAAAAGATTCCAAGATTTTTTTTTAATTAGAACTCTTTTTGACTCAATTATGAAGGGAGACAGTAAGTTGCTGATTTTTATTGAATAATGTGTTGTGAAAATTATCCGTCAAATTGAAAAATTACCAAAATAAAATTACAATAAACTTTAGATCTATAGTTTTACTTTATTTTTCTGAAAATTTGCACGCGTTTTGGCAACTACTTGTATAGATGTATATCTCTGATGAAAAGTATTAAATTCAGGGACTGACTGCGCTATATGTTGTAGGACCAGCATCTGCGTTGAACACTCTATTCTTCTTAATAATCATTATAGTAATAATATTACCAATTATTTAATTCGCCAATAGAACGAGTTCTTTGAAAACATTTTCTAAGGTCTGGCAAAAATTTCCTTGTCGAATTTATCTTTTTGAAAGTAAAAAATTCGAAGATTTTTTTTAATTATAATTCTTTTTGACTCAATTATGAAGGGAGACAGTAAGTTGTTAATTTTTATTGAATCATGCTGTTGTGAAAATTATCCGTCAAATTGAAAAATTGCCAAAATAAAATTACAATAAACTTTAGATCAATAGTTTTACTTTATTTTTCTGAAAATTTCCACGCGTTTCGGCAACTACTTGTATAGATGTATAGCTCTGATGAAAAGTATTAAATTCAGGGACTGACTGCGCTATATGTTGTAGGACCAGCATCTGCGTTGAACACTCTATTCTTCTTAATAATCATTATAGTAATAATATTACCAATTATTTAATTCGCCAATAGACCGAGTTCTTTGAAAACATTTTCTAAGGTCTGGCAAAAATTTCCTTGTCGAATTTATCTTTTTGAAAGTAAAAGATTCGAAGATTTTTTTTTAATTCGAACTCCTTTTGACTCAATTATGAAGGGAGACAGTAAGTTGTTAATTTTTATTGAATCATGCTGTTGTGAAAATTATCCGTCAGATTGAAAAATTGACAAAATAAAATTACAATTAACTTTAGATATCTAGTTTTACTTTATTTTTCTGAAAATTTCCACGCGTTTTGGCAACTACCTGCATAGGTGTATATCTCTAATGAAGAGTATTAAATTCAGGGACTGACTGCGCTATATGTTGTAGGACCAGCATCTGCGTTGAACACTCTATTCTTCTTAATAATCATTGTAGTAATAATATTACCAATTATTTAATTCGCCAATAGACCGAGTTCTTTGAAAACATTTTCTAAGGTCTGGCAAAAATTTCCTTGTCGAATATATCTTTTTGAAAGTAAAAAATTCGAAGATTTTTTTTTAATTCGAACTCCTTTTGACTCAATTATGAAGGGAGACAGTAAGTTGTTAATTTTTATTGAATCATGCTGTTGCGAAAATTATCCGTCAAATTGAAAAATTACCAAAATAAAAT